ACACACACACACACACACACACACACACGCATGAATGCATGCACGCACACACACACATAACAGCTACACTGTGTAGCCTTGGAAATACACTAGGCCAATAACAAGGTGCTGGGAGAGGTCAGGGTTAGGTTGGCTGGCTGGAGGCCTGACTCCAGGCCCCTAATCAACTGTGGGGTCTCTGCTTCCTGCCAGGAGCAGGTGAACAAACTGGATTTGTGGCACTCCAGTGACTCTAATGCCCAGGAAGAGGCCACTCTGGCCCCTTCTTACCTCTTTTGACTGTCAATTCTGAATATGGGTTTGTAGAGCTCTGGGATTTTCCGCTCAATCATGGGCCTGAGACTGTCCTTCAGCTTGTTGTAGTTCTTCCTGAGTTCCTGCTGATACTCCCGCTGCTCTGCTGTGATGAGCCTCCTGTTCTTCTCCACGGCCTCACCACATCTGGGGTGGAGAAAGGAGGTTGTGGGTCCTCAGTGTTTGTATTTTAGTGACTTGGAGGGCAACAGCAGCATGCCAGCTTCTTGAGTGCCTCTGCTATTGTCTGCATCTAAAATGTTTCCTTAAGGCCTGCTGCTCAAACACTGGTTGTCAGCTGACAGGCTCTGCAGATGTGATTGGATTATGGGGTGTTGGAGCTTATTCGTGGACTAGTCCATCTACAGGGTCGTGCTCTGATGGGCAATTGGGAGAAATAGGAGGTAGCATCTCAATGAAGGGAGTGGGTAGGTCCTTGAAGGAATGACCTTGGGAGGACGTCTTGTCTATAGCCAGCCTCATCATCCCCTTTTCTTTGTTCCTGGCTACTGTGAGATGAACGGCCTCCTCCAAAGCACGCCCCACCCCCAAGAAGTTCTGCCTTTGTGTAGGTCAAAGTAATAGACCCAGTTGATCACAGACTGAAACCCCAGAAACTATGAGCTACATAAATCTTTATTTTTGGCAAGTATTTTTTGTCACCATGATGTAAAGTTTACAAGCACAACCTCTAGTATGTTTGTGTGTGTGATTATGATGTTTGGTATGGTGTATGTAAACGTGTGTGATGTGCACATGCCTATGTTAGCACTCAGAGTCAAAGGAGGACATTGGGTAGCCTCCTCCATCACTATCTTCCTTATCCCTTTGAGGCAAGTTCTATTCCTGAACTTGGTACTTATGATTTTTACCTTGGCAGCACAGTAAACTGTAGAGATATCAATCCTCAAGTCTCCCCTTATCCTTTCATTGCTGGGGTTACAGGAAGGTGTGGGACCATGCCCTGCTTGTTACATGGGTGCTGGGATCTGAACTCAGGTCCTTGTGTTTATGCAGCAGGTGCCCTTACCCACTGAGCCATCATGGTAGCCCCAGTAAGTGTTTTCAGACCTTGTGGTCAGCTTACCAGTTCCCCACAGAGCAAGCTTCCTTCCTTCCTTCCTTCCTTCCTTCCTTCCTTCCTTCCTTCCTTCCTTCCTTTATTATTTTTTTTTCAAGACAGGGTTTCTCTGTGGCTTTGGAGGCTGTCCTGGAACTAGCTCTTGCTGACCAGGCTAGTCTCAAACTCACAGAGATTCACCTGCCTCTGCCTCCTGAGTGCTGGGATTAAAGGCGTGCGCCACCACTGTCACAGAAACGTTCAAAAAGCAAACTGTAGCTGGGTGTGGGAGGCAGAGGCAGGTGGATCTCCATGAGCTAGAGGGCAGCCAGCTCTACACAGTGAGATGCTGTCTAAAAAAAGAAAAGGAGGGGGGTGAGGGGGAGAGGGAGAAGGGATTGACATGTGAAATTATAATTTTGTAAAATTAAAAAAAAGGTTATATACTCTAGCCAGAGAGATGGTTCAGCAGTTAGGAGATTATATGTTAATAATTACATGTGCTAATAATTGTATGTGCAAATAAAATTCCCCTTGAGAGTTATATAGAAATAAAAAAACCTGCCTCAATAAAAAAAGTAAAAGGAATTAGAGATAACAGAGCAAAGTAAGATAAAACAAAATAACAAAGAGTAAGAATAACAAAAAACCCCAGTATCAAAACAACTTATCAAATAGCAACAAAGAGTAGGAAAATGAAAAGTCTTAGAAAAGAATTAAATAGAACTTCAAGAAATGAAGTCACAGGGATTTAAAAACAAAACAAAACAAAACAAAACAAAAAAACCCTCAGTTGACAGGTTAAGCTAGACTAGATACCTAATGACAATGGCTGATCATTGCCCAGAGCGGAAAACTGGGATGATTCCCCTACTGAACAGATTTAGCGTCCTCCACTGTGGCAGAACTGCAGAACATTTACACAAAGAAAAATCCTCAACCTGTTGTTAAGACTTTTGGGACCAGATGAATACAGAATAACTGTTCTAATTCGTTTCAGCCCCAGCAATCTTCCCTCGAAGAGTCTAGTCCTCTAGACAGAGAGTACGGACAGAGAGCATGTCCAGGGGTTGGGACAGGGTGAACTAAAAGAGCAGAGAATCTCACTGCACCAAAATTTAGTTCTCTTGTTAGTTATTACAGGTGAGATGAGGAAGGGCAAAGAGCTGTGTGTGTGTGTGTGTGTGTGTGTGTGTGTGTGTGTGTGTGTGAGTGTGTATGAGTGTGTGTGCACGTGAGTGCAAAGGCCCAAAGAGGCCAGAGATGTTGGCTATCCCTGGAGCTGGAGTTGCAGGCAGTTGTGAGCCACTTAATGTGGGTGCTGGGATCCAAATTCAGGTTTCTTGGAAAAAGAACAGTACACACATTTAACTACTGAACCAGCTTTCTAGCCCCACCCCCCAATCACTTAGTATTTATACTTTTTTAAATTTTATTTTTATTTTATGTGTGTGAATGTTTTGCCTTCATGGGTCCATGCAGATCAGAAGAAGTTATCAGAGCTCCTGGGACTGTATTTAAGGATGGTGGTAAGCCACACATGGGTGCTGGGAACTGAACATAAGAACTCTACAAAAGCAACAAGTTCTTTTAAGCTATATCTCCACCCCCAATATTTATAATCTTTAATTTGTGTTTGTATGTGTGATATATGTGAACATATATATGCAGGTGCATGCCAGAGGAAGACATCAGGAATTTTCTGAGACAGGGTCTCTTACTGAACCTGGAACTAGGCTGGTGGCTAGCAAACCACAGCCATCCTCCTGTCTCTGTTCCACACCTATGTTGGAGTCACAGGTGCATGCACAGCAACGTCTGGCTTTTTATGGGTACCAGGGATTTGAACTTAAGTCCTGAAGCTTGCACAACACTCACTCTTACCCACTGAGCTATCTCCCTGGCCCCAAGTCTTAGCAGGAAGGAGAACAGTCAGATAAGTGAGAGAAAATATGGAAAATACTCCTGTGATCATGATGTTCTAGTGAGTTGGGGAGAAGAGGAGACAAGTGTGGCATTTGACCTCTTAGGAAAAAACAGAGAGAAGACTTTGTTCTCACTTGGCAGCCATCTGCAGAGTGCCTGGAGGCCGGGAGTGCTGACTGCTGCATGCCAGGCTGCCAGGCTTTCTGGCTGGGTCTGATCAGCTACAGCTGAGTCAGAAGCCACTGCCCTGGGGCAGGAGAAGCAACTACAGACTCAGGCAGGGCCATGTCTACAGAACTGTCTTCACAGGAAGGGTGGCTTGGGGTCACCTTGGAGCTCTGGGTTATCCACCAGCCTCCTGAGAAGCTGAGGAGATAGAGCTCACTGAAACACAGGCCCAAGAGGGGGCCACACCTGACTTCCTGTGGAGTCACATCTGCCCACTGCCAACTTTGGAGGCCTTCAACTGTAATGAATTTTAAATGAAAAGATACAGTGAAAAAGTCCTTCTAAATAATTATCCAAATATTTTTCTAGCCTTTTGCTACAAAAATATCTAGTATTTAGCAGGGCATGATGGCACACATCTTTAACCCCAGCACTCCAGAGCCAGAGGCAGGATGATCTCTCTAAGTTTGAGGATAGCTGCTCAACAAAGGGAGTTGCAGGCCAGTCAAGAGTATATAGTAAGACAGTGTTGGAAGGAAGGGAGAGAGAGAGGGAGGGAAAAAGCAGAGAGAGGGGGAGAGAGGAAAGGAGGGAGGGAGGGAGGGCAAAACAAAAGCAAATAAACAAACTATTATGCAGTAAAGAATATGTACCTTGTATATAATAATAGAACTGTTTTCAAAAAGGAAACCCAACATTAATAGATGTGATCTGTCATATACACATCGTGTATCATATACGTATATGTATATCATATACGGCTATTTCCAAACATCTGAGCTTCATTGCAGGAAGAAGTGTTCTCTAGATACAGCAAAGTTGGGCATTTCTCCAGAAGGCTTATGATAAAGGCAGTATCTCTAATTTCACCCAACAGCAGCATTCCAGTGGGTTTTCACTAAGTTTGGCAGACTAACCCTTAGCTTCCTTTCTCCCCACCTGCCTTGCAAGACGATTCCTGCACTCAGACACTGCACCGAGGGTCTGGATGTAAAGGCGACTGATACATACACTTCTCTCTTGTAAGTGAAGTGGCATCGTACTCAGCATTCTTTTAGGGCCACTGGAGTCCTAGGTACCGGTCTGTATTGCAGGGATCACTTGGCTCTGCCCAAAGAGCCATTTTCTGTCTAGGGTGAACCAGCTGCTCTTGAAACCAGCTGCACAGAAATCAGTAGCTCACATGAGGCTGGCCTCGCATTTAGGTTTCTTTTCTTTTCTTTTCTTTTTTTTTTGGTTTTTTGAGACAGGTTTCTCTGTGTGGCTTTGGAGCCTGTCCTGGAACTCACTTTGTAGACTAGGCTGGCTTTGAACTCACAGAGATCTGCCTGCCTCCACCTCCGGAGTGATGGGATTAAAGGTGTGCGCCACCAACACCCGGCTTAGTTTTAGGTTTCTAAAGTAAGTCACTGTACAATTTGCAGAACCACATTATTAATGTGGTTAATAATACTATTATATGCAAATAATAATACTGTTAATGCAAACAGCTTTGATGTAATCTCAGCAGTCACTACCAGCACAGACAGAATAGGAATGGCTGACATCCAGAAGACCTTCTGCCACTCATCTCTGCTGCCAACTGGCTGTGTGTGTGGCATTTTGTCTCCCATCTGCTAACCTCCCAAGCCTCATGTGTAAAGTGAAGAAGATGATACCTGTCTTACCTGTCTTAGGGGACAGGGCAACAGCAACCATGAAGCACCCGGCACATGAAGTGTTAGTTCCTTAGTGGCAGTGCAAGCACTGTTGCTCTACTGCCCTGGTCTCAAGCGTGTGTGTGAGTGTGTGTGTGTGTGAAACATTTGGCAGGGTTCTTAACCAGAGTCTGTGATCCAGTAGTTCTGAGTGGTACCTGGGATACTTTTTAATTTGTTTTTGCAGTGGTGGGAATGGCATCCGCCGCCTCATGCACACTGGGCAAACACTCCGTTGCTGAGTAGGGCCCCCACGCTGTCTTGCCCTAGTGTTCACCACCCTCTTCTTACCGCATTATGAACTCCTTGAAGCATAACCTCAGCTTGTTGTGATGTCGATAGAGCTTTGGGTCAGCTGGAATCTCAGCCAAGAACACTTGGGCTACCTCCAGCGGTCCCTGACGGAGAAAGTGAAACATGATATAGATACTGGAATGAAAATTAAATTATTTGGGAGACAGAGAATGTTGGGAGGGCTCCTTAGTTTGAACACTTAATTTTGTAGCTTGTTTCATGAAAACAAAAAGCCCAGGGAGGTCTTGAATTTCTCAGGAAATTGATTCCTGAGCAGGACTCAGTTTTAAGAGGATACCGAATAGTCAGTCAAAGCACTTCTTCACAATCAAATACTAACCCTACAGCTTTCCCTTGCTGAAGTACTGTGAGGGGCTCCTCTAATGCAAGAACTACCTCTATCTGTTCAATCACATTTGTTTATCTGGTAGATCTGGTGGAAGAAACCATTTTGTGTAAACCCTGGCTTGAGCCGGAATAATGCACAGGCCCTCTGTGGCCTATGGTTGTGAGAATAAAAGTCTTCTGTTTTCTTCATAGGATTGGGACTCACAAAAGCAAAGGTTTCCTAACATTTTTCTAATCTTGGATTACACTAGTCTTTCTCCTGTCTGATGCCTCTGATCCCTTGGTGTTGAGGGGACTTAGAACTTCTGCAGGGGATCTTCAGATGGAGAAGGTGCTGGCTGGATAGAACAATGGTTGGTGAGATTTGAGTGTGCCAGTGTGAGGAACCAACATCAAGGAGCCCACTAGACAAAAGGTAGTAACTAGGCTGTTAGTACCTAGCCCATCAGAGACAGGCTTGGTGCCATGCTTAACTCATGTGTAATGGTTCTCATAGGAATAAGAAACACCAACCCTTTTAGTTGGCCCGAGAACCCAGTCCCAGGTCAATCCTGGTTGGCAAGGTCCTCGCTATGTTGGGTATACCTGGTAGCTAACCAAGGAAAGAGATGGTTTGAGTCTTTTCTTCTTCATATACACATTCTTAGATGAGTCCCAAGCCCTGCATATAGCACTACCTATGCTGGACACGAGTCAGCTCTCTTCAGCAGGACTCCAGCTCTGGGTCACACCGCCAGATCTGGTCCCAAATTGGAGACTCTGAGAAAATGAATGGCATTCCTTAAACACAGTCCAATCCTTTTGAGGATTTCTTTGGGAAGACTGAATGTGACTGACTCATGAAGTCCTAAGGAGGGTGTAGACCTCACGAACAGAAGAATAAGCACCGGCCGAGCTGCATTAGTGAACTCCACTCACCTGGTTTACAGTGGCTCCTACAGAGCCTTGCAGTACCATCTGCAGCATCTTGGCATCAGGGGGCTCCTGGTGAGTGGCCACCGCTAACTGCAGGGTCTTCTTCTTCATATCTTCAATGGCAACTTCAATCGGAGTCAAAACGAACTGAACAGAAGACGATAGTATAGTGAGGTCATGTGTGTCTCCCTCACAGTCCCTGGCAAACCTGGAATGCTGACAGGTGGGCTGCCTGGATTTGAAGAAGCAGCTAAGGAAAGACTTCTGGGGTACTTGGAATAATCTGAACAGGTGACGCAGAGAGATGAGCTTGACATTTCTTGAGCACCTACATGTTCAGTATCATACATGTGTTTCTGCTTTAAACAACATCCTGTCCTTCACACTCTATAGTGTTGGGAGCCAGATCTCAGGGCTGGGCATGAGATCCTAGGCCATTCTTGGCCTAGTTGTATACACATAGTTGTATATTAACCTTTACATAGGAGCTCCTTAGAACCTCAGCTCAAGAAAAAGACCCAGTCCTCCACTCACAGGCTCAGTCACCTAGGCAACCCTTCCTGGACGTCTTACTCATAAACTCTTTACCCTGTCAAACATCCTCTTTGTGGCTTCCTAATATCCTGCCTACACTAACCCCTGGCTCACAAACAACCCATTCAACCCCTCCCCATATCCTGCTCTGCCGACTATATAAGCTAGCCTGAGAAAAAAATAAAGTTTGCCACTTGATCAGAATCCCATCTTGTGGTTGTTCTTTCTGCGTCTCTTGTCCCCATTCCCTATCCCTGACTCTCTTGCCCCAGGTTGATGTCCTGCAGGACAGGACACTATAGAAAAGGGGGAATTTATAAGATCAAGTAAGTAACACAAAATGTATTAAGTATTAAGGTACAAATTCGATCACAATTATGCCTGTATCCAAAGCCCATGTTCTTTCTATATGGTTAGGTTTCTTTTTCTATTATTCAAAGAGTTACAAGGGGGAAAGCACAGCAGCCAAGATTTTCTTTCCCATCCTCACATAGGATTTTGGCATCATCTGTGCCCTTTCCACCTCAGCCTGGTGGTGACACCTGGCAAAAAGGATTTTCTTCAGGATCCATCTAGTTGATAAGTTCTTCTGCTGGTTTGGAGTAGGGGCCTTCCTGAATGTGATGGGTCAAATCCTGTCTCCCCCAAATCCACATGCTAAAGTCCTAACCTCCAGGAGCTCAGAAGGTAACCTTATTTGTAGGTAATAAAGTTAAAGTCACTTTATTAGGGTGGACCTAATTTATATAATTGGTGTCTTTAAGAGGTGAGGAAGAAAGGACACAGTATGTATATAAGACTAGTGCTATGAATTGACACTAAGGGAAGATGTCCTTTGACAAGCCTAAAGGACAGGCCTGGGACAGATTCCCCCCTCAGCCTTCATAAGGAAACAACCAGCTGACCCCCTGAATTTGAACTTGCCTGCCTCTAGAACTATCGAGACAATCATTTCTGCTGTTTGAGCCATCCAGTCAGTGGCACACTGTTACCCAAGCAATAGAAACCACAGAGTAGTTCTAGGGAATTGCATATGGCTATAAGAATACTTTTGCAATGTATCTTTGTATTGTGCCTAGAATATCTTACTGTTCAAAAGTCCAAAGCAGTAAGAACCACACTGGATGTCTCAGAAACCTCCTATCAACAGTTTCACAGAGGCTCTACCCTCTGTGAAAGTTCCTCCTGGAGGAAGCTAGTCACTCAATGGTGGTCTAGATGGCTCCGCTCCAGCCAGTTCAGCCCATGCAGTTCCTGCCCCACAACTGGATGGTTGCAAGTCCTCTACTTGCTCACTGACTTGATTAGGCCTGTTACACTTGTTATTTTAATGAATAACATATAAACTGACGAACTAAGGGTGTGGAAAGAAAGGGTTGTTTCTATGAAGATCAAGCGGAATGCTTGGGCAAGATGTCATGAAAGTGAGTTGCTATAAAAATTCCTGTCATATTAGGTACACACAAGACAACTGTAAAAGGCTTTGGGCTAGGCTCATCAAGATCCAGAAGCCACCCTCTCACACATCAGTTAACAAGCGTTTGTAAGGCTTCATTCTGCATCACGGAAAGCAAACTAAAAACTGGGTATAGTTTATGTAAGAAAAACAATGCTGTTGTTACCAGTTAAGCCACCAAGTAGAGGAGGCTACGGTCCACTATAAAGAGGTGGTATGAGAATTAGGATGTAGGGATTTCAAGGAAAAATGATATGTTTGTGATGGATTCTATTAAAATGGCTTAAGGTCTTCCAAAATATATAAGGTCTTTCTTGCCAACATTTTTTTTTTATTAATAAGTTGGAGCCAAATACTTTGGGCACAGCTACAGGTAGAATGTGGAGTCAGAAGTCAGGTTTCTATGCCTGCCTCATCTATGCCCTGCCCACATAGAGCACCAGCTCAGGGGGCTGCTTGTCTGTGGTTCCCTTTCCAGTGATTTAGACCACAACAATGCCTGAAACACCTACAAGCCTTTAGGTACATTTTTTTTTTCAAACAGAAGGCTGGGGTGTAGTATGCAGTGTTCACCTAGCAAGCATGAGGTCCTGAATTTAGTATCTAACACTAGAGAAAAATACTGCACAAAATATTTAAAATTTAAATATAGTCATTCTCCTCTCCATGGGAAGTTGGTTCAGGGAACCACTGTCTCCAACCACACTGAAATCTGAGAATGCTCAGGGTTTTGAACATGAAGTATACCCTAAACATCACGTCTGGTTTCCAATAGAAACCTCCTACATTACCAGTGAGTGAATCTCTTGATGAATTGATGACAGGGGGCAAGATCTGAAGTATAGAGGATAGGCTTGTCTGGGTGATGTAGGTCCATGGGAGCATCCCTTTGGGGTTGTTATTTTTCCTTGGTCCCTCTCTGAAGCCTCACTGTCTACTTCCTGGTCACTAGGATGTGTACTGAACGGCTCAGCCATGCCTTCTTCACCATGATGTATGGGACTTTGAGAACTGTGAGTTACAGCAAAATTTCCCCTAAGTTGTTTCCACCAGGCATTTGGTCACAGCAGTGGTGAACACTCCACAATGGAATAGCAAACCCTTCACAGCCAATGGGCTGCAAGGGCTGTGTAGACAGTTGCTTTACCATATTCTTTAAGAGGAAACTGACAAGGATAAAAGTTCATACAAATTTTTTATAGATATAAACTTTCCCTTCAAAATGCTAATTCATGGTTGGTTGACTCCATGGATATGAAACCTGAGAATATGAAGAGCTAATGTATAGATCTCTTATATAAATTTATAATTAAAATGGAAAGAGATGACACCGTAATTAAATATGTAACCATGCTATAGAAAGAGTAATGGCTATATTATATATAAATATATAAAACATACATAATATATCCTATAAATATACCATATAATTTGTTAATATATAAAAATATGCTATATACTATATATTATATTTAAGTCAGTTTTATATATTTAAATATATTATATTTTATATGTATTATATAAAATATAAAATATTTAAATATATAGTATATATTATATGTATATATAGTATTACATATAGTATATACAAAATATAAAACTATGCTATATTAAAGAGTTAAATATTTAATATGAAGTACTGTTTTGTTTTGGTTTGGTTTGGTTTTTCAAGACAGGGTTTCTCTGTGTAGCTTTGGAGCCTATCCTGGCACTTGCTCTGGAGACCAGGGTGGCCTCGAACTCACAGAGATCTGTCTGCCTCTGTCTCCCGAGTGTTGGGATTAAAGGTGTGCGCCACCAACGCCTGGCCAAGGGTGAAGTACTGTTTTGAAAGGTGTAACTAATTGAATAGGATTTCTTGGCCCCATGATAGTGAAGGAAAGCTTTCAAGGGCATCTTTGCACATGTTAGATAGATGCCCTACCTACCACTGAGCTACATCTCCAGTCCTTGGTTTATTCAGACAAGATCTTGCTACACAGTTTAGGTTGCCTTAGACTTGCTCTGCAATCCAGGATGCTATCTAGCTCAAGTGGCTCCTGCCTCAGCCTCTGTAGTATTGGGATTATAAACATGCACTTGTAGGCTTGGCACATGTTTGTTGGGTCTCACTACACAGTCCTGGTAGGCTTGGAACTTGTTATGTCGATAAGGCTGGCCTTGACCTCACAGCCACCCACCTGCCCCTGTCTCCTCCTTCAGAGGTGGCTACTCCCCCCAGGGTGCATTACCTCCTCCTTCTGGATGACTTGGATCCTGGTCTTGATGTAGGGGAAGGCATGCATGGTGGTGAGCACTGTGTTCCTGCGATACTGTTCGTGCAGCTCTCCCCGAGGCCGCCCCTCCAGGGTGAAGGGGGTGGTGTACATGAACCTTCGAAGGTTGAAATTCTTCTCGAAGTAGGTCACCCTGTCTTTCATCTCATACTCATCAAAGTAGGGCTCCACAAAAGTGATCTGTATGTAGGCCTGGAGGAAGAGGTGAGAAGAAGGGAAGGATGAGCCATTCAGCCAAGGAGATCCATGCAACCTTGGAAGGGCATGCTGGGACAGAGCACAACACTCCTTTCCAATCTGGAAAACCACCAGTGCCTCAGGCCAGAATTCAGAATCTGCTCTTTCTCCTCTCTACCCCAGGCAAAGAAAGGCCCTTGAGACTATGGAAGGGAGCCTGCCATGTTCAAGGAAGAATGAGGTCTAGCAGCTGCCCCCTCTAGCACAGCAAAGGAAGGCAAATCTTCCTTACTGAGTTGCCATGACGAGGACCTGCTAATTAGGTAGTGCAGATGCTTACACGGAAAAAACACACACACACACACACACACACACACACACACACACACACACACACACACAGAGTACCACGTGTTTTCTAGGATGGAGCAGCTGGAATGTTCAAAAGATCACCGGGGAATGCAAAAATGCATGGCTACTCTATAAGCCAAAACTCCTTATGCAGCTAAATGACACCCACCCAAGAGCCCAACTCCATGTATGTCCACAAGTGTTTGTGTGAAGCTTTTCTGGATTGGATGCACTCATTGCCTTCTTGAATGAGAGCAGCTGTGACCACACACATGCAGGAAGATGGTAGCCTAGTGACACCCCTTCCTCCCTATATCCACTACCCCCCCTTTCCTACTCTCCTCCCCATAGATGAAGCTGGAAACAGCTGCTGAGAGGAGTTTCTCTGGAGGAGTAGCTGCCCATAAACTGCATAGAGGATTTCCTGGTGGTACAGCTGACTCTGAGTACCCACGCTCCTCTAAATGACACCAATAAACGCATTGATTCACCAAGTTAGACTTGAACAGACCCCTTTCTTGGATCTCTTGTTGCCTTCACTATATGAGGTGAACAGAAATAGACATGCCATGTGACATCAAGAAAATGAAAGTAATAATCAGCCCAAATTAGAGCCACGTTGTTGATAATAGACAATGAGGAACTGCCCAAATGTCCCTCTGGTGGAGATAATAAGCAAGTGTGATACATCACCACGACAAACACTGTCTGCATGAACTAGTTCAACACGGTGAATCTTAGAGGGGCATGCTGAGCAAAGGAAGTCAGCTTCAAAGGAATGCACGCTCCCACAAGTCCATGCTCCAGACAGGCAAACCGACACAGATTTGAGCAATACAGCTTGGTGACCACTAAGGGCTAAAAATAGAGAGTGGTGACAAAAGAGCTTGAGAAACATTTCAGAGTGACAGGATGGTTTTGTACCTTGACTGTCAAGGTAATGGTTATGTGTGTGTCAAAATGCATTAAAACACACACCAGCCAGGAAGTGATGACCCAAGCCTTTAATCCCAGCACTAAGAAAGCAGAGGCAGGTGGATCAAGGATCTCTGTGAGTTCAAGGCTAGCCCTAGTCTACAGAGCTAGTTCCAGAACAGCCAGGCTACACAGAAAAACCCCTGTCTCGGAAAAACCAAAACCAAAACCAAAAAACCAAACAAAAAAACAACACACTAGTGACACTAGTGAAACTCTCTCTCTCTCTCTCTCTCTCTCTCTCTCTCTCTCTCTCTCTCTCCCCTCTCTCTCTCTCAAAGCATAAAGAGGAGTTCTTTAAAAACATAAAGAAGAAGAATGGAAGTGAGCAGTGAATTCAGGCTGAGACACCCACCCAGAGAGGAGGAAGGTGGACAACTGACCTCACACTGTAAATAAATCATGCTTTAGAATAATGAAATTTGGGTGTGACTCTGGGTTAGGATTCTCATTCCAAGCTCAAAATCTACCCTGGGAATTTTAAAAGAGGGGAAAGGCCCTGCCATTGGGAAGGTCACTCGGGCTGTGTTCAGATCACTGTGGGCACACAGCCAGTCCTATCTTCCAAGGACTCCAAACATTCCTTCAATGCTTACCATAATGATTGCTTTCAGGCCTCAGCTAGGGAACGTCTCTTAAATGAGCCAGTGTTCTGACAAATGTAGAAAAATTTGTATTTGGCCAATCTCTCCCAATCCGTATCATCTTTGTGCAATCCTGAAGACAGAACTCAGGGACCTTCATGGAGAGGGCATAGGAACCGCCCTTCCTCCTGACTTCACACTCTGTGTATCCATTTTTGTACAGCTGCAATCAGAACTATGGTACTGTTTTCAGTCCTTGAGCTCATCCTGGTGAATTATGTAACCCAAGGGTGTCATGAGAACTCCTAAACTTGTAGCCAGCTAGAAGTATAGGTGACATGAGACATATGGGAGCCTCACTTGAGGCTCATGTTTGAAACAAGGGCAGTCTTGAACTGGTAAAGTCTCATGCTACATGTGAGCTGTCGACATCAGAATTGCACAGCACTGTCAGGTGGAATGGACACACCTCGGTGTGGACGTGAGAGAAACAAGCTTCCAGCCTCGATCCTTCCTCCACTACTGTAGCAGTCCTGCACATGACTAGAAGAAATGCCTGAAACTTAAAGAATGATGCCACTAAACACTGTCTGCCAGAAGCTGCTGTATGTTTTTAGACGCACGCGCGCACACACACACACACACACACACACACACACACACACACACACACTATGTTTATGTGTTTGTATATGTCACAGTTGTGCATGCATCCTTGGAGGTCGGAAGAGGGAGTTGGATGCCTCGCAGCAGGAGTCACTGACTGTTGCGAGCCTCCTGATGTCGGGTGCAGGGAACCAATCTGATTCCTTTGGAAAAGCAGGAAGTGCTCTTATCTGCTGGACCATCTCTCCAGGCCCCAGAAGTTGGCATATTTTAAGACATATTTTAAGTTGAAAGTTTAAACATTTTATAGGAATGCACTAATGAGCTGGAGTGATTAAGAGGAATGTGGGCTGGATATCAGACCTCTTGGGAAGCAGTGGCTCTGCCATCAGCATCATCTTAGAAAGTTGTTCAACTTTCCCAAGGCTGGATTTTTTAATCTATAAAATAGAAACAACCAAACCTATTCCTAAGGGCTGCTGGAGGATGGAAGGAAATGATTTAAACATACAGCTGTGGTGTTTAATAAATAACAGCTGGAGACGGAGTTTCTGGGGCTAAGGGGCTGTGGGACCAGGTGGGACAGAAACTCCATCTACAAACAGCTCCTATTATGATTCTTGTTTTTTGAATATGCTTTTTGCCCTATTTTGTTTTTTAAGACAGGGCTTCTCTGTGTAGCCCTGGCTATCCTAGAACTCATTCTATAGACCACGATGGGCTTAAACTCACAGAGATCTGCCTGCCTCTGCCTCCCAAGTGCTGAATTTAAAGCATGTACCCCACCATCAGCTAGATGAACACTTTATTTTTCATTTTTAAAAAATTATTTATTTACATCCTGACCATAATCTGTTTTTTTAAAAGACCTGATCAATCAGAAATTGAACCCTGGAGTGGAGGGAATGCTTATTTGCTGGCTGGTGTGTTGGTACATGCCCTGCAAATCCTACCACTAGGGATGTTGAGGCAATAGAATATTGAATTCAAGGCCAGCCTGAGCTACATAGCAAGAACGTGTGTCAAAAAATCTCAACGGGATGAGGAGATGGTTTAGTGGGTAAAGGGCTTGCTGTATAAGCATAAGAACCTGATTTCAGGTCCCCAGCACCTACACAAAAGCCAAGTGAGGCACTGCATGGCACATGTGTATTCCCAGTGCTGGGGGTGGGGGAAGGTGGTAGACACAGGTAGATCCTGGCATTCAAAGGCCAAATAGGGAACTCCAGGTAGGAAAAATAAGGTGGTACATGGTAGACAAAGACACCTGATGCTAACCTCTAGCTTCCACATGTGGGCATGGATGGTAGAGTGTATCTGCACATTCACAGATACCCCACTCACACATCTCTCTCTCTCTCTCTCTCTCTCTCTCTCTCTCTCTCTCTGTGTGTGTGTGTGTGTGCAGACATACCCCCAAACAAAACAAAACAAAACATGTTTGCATTTGAAGGACTGGGAGAGCCCAGACACAGAAGGTCATTTTACACTTTCAGGGTAGAGTCTGGTAGTTGTTTTCTCCATACCTTGTTAGGATCCAACTTGGTTTTATCCACAGGAGTGGAGTCCTTTATCACTTCCACAAACTCTGCACCAAAACACTGGCCATAAAATCCCTAGGACAGAGAAGCCAAGGGTATGTAAATTCATTTGGAAAGTATGCATCTCCTTGGAACCAGTACAAGGCAGAATCTGTTGATTATTGATGGTCCCTCTGAGCTGAGAAGCAACCTTAAGCACTTCCTGAGACAGAAATAAAAGTATAAGATGTTCCACACACTCAAGTACCTAAGCTTCCCCACAATACAGATGCATGGTCTCAAATTCAGCCATCATCATCAGATTTCTGGAGGCAGCTCCATGGGTAGGCACTATTTACTTCTCACATTTTGTATCCTGGAAATTTGGAGGTTGCCAGGCTTCCCATAATGTGGCAAGCCACAGTGTTCAAGGAGACGGAGACACACATTTCTAATTTTAAGCAGAGGACACAATATTAGGGAGTTAAGAGCCTGGGCCAATGGCTAGTTTTCCTTGTCATGAGATGAATGACTTTGGGCAACTGCCCAGCCTGACTAGGCCACAGCTTCTTGGAGTTGAGTCCTCTGGCCTTATTCATCAGTGAGTTTTGAAGCTTTACAGTCTAAGAGGAGACAAAATCAAAGGAAGAACATGGCAGAATAACCGGGGAACCTTTGGTTAAATGTCAACTCTTCTCAGGACCCTGGTCTCTCAGCCCCGAAGAGAGCTCTTATTTGTTCCTCTCAATTTCTGCTTCTGTTTTTCTGCTGTTTGCTCTGTCATTGAGAACCTGCTACTCTTTTCTGTTCCATTGTGTAGCTGCCAGGTTGGAGCTGGGGCTGGCTATAGCCACTTTGCAATTGCTTTATATCTGAGTAGAAGGTGTTATTTAGAGACACTTAAGGGCAGCCTCACCATTGAGAGTGAAGGGAATGATTTGGTTAGATTGTTTTGAAATCAAGATGAAAACCTCCATGTCAGAAAGCACCATGACCACTGCCAACTGGTATATATTGGTAATGAGTGGAAGGCACTATAAGTAAGTGTGGATGCTGACTGGATTTGATACAGTCTTGCAAAAATCACTATCCAGGATTTAAATTTGAGACTTTGTAAAAACAAACATAGGATCAAGAGAAAAATGTGCAACTCCTATGGTACTCACAATCCTGCCTACTACCTTCATACTACAAATGCAATGTAGAAATTTATATAGAGGTCAGCAATGAGCACATTAAAAAAAAAAAAAAGACATTCTACCTTGTTTTTAGGGAATGTACAAGGTCAAGCACACAGCGCCATTTTCTCACCTCTAGTCTATGTGAGATCTCTGGGAGCTTTGTAATTGCAGGCTCCTTGTACACAAATTCCTGCTCATCCAAATCCCCAAATTTGGATCCGTAGAAACCAACTCGGAAGTAAGTTCCAAACATCCTCTTATGGTCCTGTTACAGAGGAAAGGGGAGGTCTCCTTCAGTTGTGTCATTACTGGTGATCCACTTGACTAAAAGGATTGGTTATTGGGCAGCAAACATTTTATTCCCACAACTGACATGAAGAAGAACCCCTCTGTTAAATAGATTTAATATTTACACAATAAACCCCAGCAATGATTACAAAAGAAATCCCATGAAAAAACTCCTGGGGCTTCATTTAACTGAATTTTAAAAATTCTCACATTCCCTAGCTATAAAGCAACCCAGCCTGCCACACTGTATTCCCAGACTTTCCTTGTTTGATTCAGAGTTACAGCTTCCTTGAGCTCAAGGGAAATCTGTCGTCAGGGAGATCTCTAGACACCAGCTAACAGACCCATAGGCCAGACCCATCCCCAGCTACCTTGTTGATGATGTTGTCGAAGGCCTTCTGCAGTTTGTCGTGAGTAGAGGTCAGCTTCCGGAAATCTCTATGTGCTTCCAGGATGGGAATGACCAGCTTGTAGACTTCATTAACTGTCTCATACAAGCCTCCCTGGGAAAGAGGAGATTATTTAATGCACTGGAAGTGTAAGAGGAAGAACCAGAATTAATTACACAAACAACATTTGGGAGAGCATCATAGCACTTTTTGGAATCCTCCACAACTGTCTGGGCATCTTTGGAGACCAGGCACCTTGCTAAGTGGTGCCAACCAGGGAGGTGGCTTTCCTCAAACTGAAAACAGGGGAGGAGATGTCACAGGTAATAAGGGGCTCCTAGAGGTGGCTTGTGGCTTCTGAGCTGATCACAGGTTCTCCTCTAGCCAATTGCAGGACCTCAAGGGGTTCTAATGGGATTCTAACCAATTGATTTTCTAGGATTTCAGGAAACTAAGGGTGTGTGTGTGTGTGTGTGTGTGTGTGTGTGTGTGTGTGTGTGTGTGAATATGAACAAAGTACAATGATATATGCATATGGGAAAATGTAATAAGGAAGCTAGTTTTGTACAATAACCAAAAATCAATTAAAAAACTGTTTTCTGATTTCTAAAATAGAAAACAAAGACAGGAAAATAAAGGCAGTGAACACAATAAACACAGAAAATCTAAGGAGGAAGTTTGTAAGTGAAAAGTAGAAAACAAAAAATAATAATACAGGAAAACAGAATGGGGTCAGCTAAAGAAAGTATTAAATTTACTGGGCTTCACTATGGGGAGAGAGGGCAATGATTAAAATGGAGACATATGAGTGGCTTTCTACCTCCCACTGAACTGCAGTGGGTTTCCTATGCTTTTTCTCTTACTGAGAGTCAGACCCAGATCAGGGTACCGAGGGATGGTTCTGTGGTGTTTGCTGCCCCGTCTCTCTGAGCTGCCTTGGTCTATACATGTCTGAAGACCAGTTGAGTGTCCCAGGGAAGATGTCATGGATCCCTGCTTGCTCTTCAGTGGCTCCTGCCCTATCTTCTTCTGTGAGTGGGAAAAGGAGGGCGTAAGAATATGCCTCATCTCTGATTGTGTAACCCTGGGCAAGCTGCTTCACCTCTCTGTGGCTTAGCTGCCACACTATTAAATGGAAATAATACTGTGAAACGGCTCCGGGCCAATGAGCATGCCTTGGAAATAGGAGAATGCCCACGATGAAATCTCCTCCCTTGGAGAGCTGATGCAATCTGTGAACATCAAAGTCATCGCTGGTCTAGCCAGGAGCATCCAGCCAGGCCCAGTCCTATTCTGCACGCCCCGGTAAGTGTGAGGAAAGGCTGAAGGAGCCCTGTAGGCACTGACCGTGCTGAAGAGCTCTGCAGCCTGCTCCAGGAGGCCCACCAGGCCACTCTCCGTGAAGTACCGACCAGAGCACACTCCGTCCTCATCAGGTGACAGGGTGTCGTCAGAGACTGCAGACTCCTCCAGCACATTGGAGGAAATATTCTGTAAGAGAACCCATCATGAGCCCAGGATCAGGAGACTGACAAATAAGGGACCACAAAATCCAGATAGATAGTAGGATAAAGAAGCCACGCTGTATGACCTTCACTGGGTGGTGATTACAGTGAGTTTGCAATTCCATCCACATGAGCTGCTGGTGGCTATTCATTTGGAAGGCCACTGAGCAAACTTGTCATCAAACCCCACAATTTTTAACCATGGAGGAACTTTCTAGAATGGACACTTTCCTTAATGTAACAACAGTTTGGCTGAAACAACCTCACTGTTAGTGAAATAACCCTAAGGGACATATAAGGGCCTTGGATTTTAAAAGGCCAAGGCCAGAGAGCAGGGAATGGAGCCCCATTTTGCCAGCTGCTACTCCTGCTTGTCTTGGCTTTGAGATAAATAACCATATTAAAACATATGAAAGTAATGGATGAGGACGTCTTCCATCTTCTTTACAGAAACTTTTTTTTTTTTTTTTTTTTTTTTTTTTTTTGTCTTTTTGAGACAGGGTTTCTCTGTGTAGCTTTGGAGCCTATCCTGGCATACAGAAGCTTTTTTATTTTATTTTTTATTTTGTAGACAGGGTTTCTCTGTGTAAACTTGACTGCCCGGAATTCATTCTGTACATCAGGCTGGACTCAAACTCACAGAGATACATCTGCCTCTGTTTCCCGAGTGCTGGGATTAAAGGCGTGCACCACCACCGCCTGCCCAGAAGCTTTGGTAGAGCTCAGAAGAAGTTGCCCACCCTCACACACATTTTGTTGCTGTGTGTTTTTTCCTTTATATAAACTATAGACCTTAGAGCCTCTTACCAGGGAATGCAATGTCTGTGGATGGGTTGGTGCAAATGAGAACCCAGGGCACAACATTTCCAGAAGCACTCGTGTTTTAGGGTCATGGGATTGCTGTCTTGGGACTTCTTTATTTTGAGAATGAGTTCCTTTTCACATTTTATGTTGCATGTACACCATTTGCCTCATCCAGGCTCTGACCCTGGCAGTGACTTCCATACTTCTGATAGGCCAAGTGCCATTCCTGGCTTTCAGCTATGGAAGAAGTGAGTATGATGTGTAGAACAAATGGGAAACCTTCCCTGTGTAGGAACTGCAAACAGCACACAGGACACTCCTTCTTCCTGCTGTGCACGTAGCAGGCATAACTCAACAGTGATTACTCTTTTCCCTGGAGGTTGGCTATACCTCAAAACTCCCAGCATAATGTTCCAGTCAGCTACTACCAATTGCTCAGATGCGTTTTTTTGTTTTTTAAATAAACGCTATCTGCCTTCTGACTCAGCTATCAAAATCAAGGTAATCACCTTTAGGAATTCATAAAGAAGTAGTTGTCACAGCCCATGCATTCACAGTTATAATGGAATACGTTTATGAACACAAACAGAGTTTTTGGAAGTCCTCTGTGACCAATTTTTCTTCCAAATCTGAATTATTACGATTTTAGCTGAAAGAACCTAGTCACTTAGGCCAGCAGCACTAACAGAACTGGATGATTTTTCTGCATGTAGAGGGATAGGTCTGAGCTAGGCAGTTCAATAGCTGTTAAGTCACTGGGGAGGGGATATCTGGCAGACATTCCTGGCTTCAGAGCGAGGGAGGTAAAAGTAAAGGTGGTATTTGAGAACACATCCACATCTATGTTTGTGAGATCAGTTTGCCTGCACTCCAGGGATAGAATTCCAATGATCTCAGTGGCTTGGACTGCAGTGAATTCCAAGTTATTTCCCCTGAACATTTTCTCCACTCTACTCATCTCTCCCAAAGGCTTAACTTTATTGGAGTACAGTGAGATTAAAAACTAGAGCACACAAAGAATATGTAAGAAATCAGCAGTAGAGCCAGGCATGGTACCACATGCCTAAAATCCCAGCACTTGTGAGGCGGAGACAGGGATCTCTCTTAATTAAAGACAAGTGAGTCCCTGTCAAAGAAAGTAAGAGGGAAAGTGAGGGAAGGAGGGAGGATGAACAGATGGAAGGACGGACAGACAGAAGGAAGGAAAGACAGATAGAAGGGAGGGAGGAAAGGAGGAAGGGAAGGAAGGAGGGAGGGAGAAGTGATTATTGCTAACATTGTCTGAATTCCTCCATTCTTCTGTCACATTATGGTATCCTCATTTTCTTCTCTCTGTTTTGTTTTTAGAGACAGTTTCTCTGTATAACAGCCCTGGCTGTCCTGGAACTTGTTTTGTAGAGACTGGCCTGCCTCTGACTCCTGAGTGCTAGAATTAAAGACGTTCGCCTCCACCACTGCCTGGCCTTCATTTTGTTTTAGAAAAAACACTGGTGATGTTCATTGTGACCTGTGACTCTGGCACAGATAATCAGGCCATTATGATTAGCTTGGGAACAAACACATGACCTGGTCAGTAAGATGCCCTAAGACTTTCTTTGCAACTTACAGAAGGGGGATTTCTCTTTTCTCCCGGTCTTGAATCTTACTATGGCATCATCAGTGTGGAGATTCTGACTATGAAGAATGATGCCCACACCACAGAAGGCTAGGATAAGAGGTAGTGACAACACTTAGGTCATAAGAGTTTGGGTCTCTAGACTATTTATCATTAAGTATTACAAAATAAGGAACAGAACAGTTTGTGTTTCTGGCTATAATATAAAGTTCATGTGGACAAGATAAATATTCAATGAATATTCCATAAAAGAAGGAATGGCTGGGAGGTGGTGGCGCACGCCTTTAGTCCCAGTACTTGGGAGGCAGTGGCAGATCTCTGTGCGTTCAAGACCAGTCTGGTATACAAGAGCTAGTTCCAGGACAGGCTCCAAAGACACAGAGAAACCCTGTCTCGAACTTCCCCCTCCCCACCCCCCCCAAAAAGGAATGAATAGCTGGGCCTGGTAACACATGCCTTTAATCCAATAACTATAAGGTATAGGGCAGGCAGATCTCTGTGAGTTTAAGGCTATCCTGGTCTATGTACCTAGCCATTGTTTCAAATAACAATAACACCACTATAAAAAACCCAAAAGAAGCAATGTATAAAGATAGATGAAAAGGTATACTCCCATGTAAGGGTAATGTAGGCTTCCCCAGGGGTTTTGGAATAACAATTTTATCTCAACTTGGAATATATCAGAATAAGAAAGTCAATGATTTATAAGTAAAATAAGGATAAATTAAGCTTTTTAAACATAAAAGTAAAAATGAAATTCAATTACTTTTAAGCATTAAATAGTAAATAAAAAGCAGCAACTGGGAGAATGCATAAGCAATAGCTTAGTAGATGAAGTGAGAAGGGATGACACAGTTCAACATGAAGGGACAAGCCTAAGGGCCTTGCAGGAGCTGGAAGGGCCGCACTGCAACACTGAGGTAACAGGCAAGTGGACAAAATGAGCTGCTTAAAAGAAGCAGACACACTGAAAACATTTTTAAAAACTTTCTTATTCACTTTTATGTATGAGGATAAACTGGGTTTTATAACAGACATTTTTGAATTGAGACTAAAATCATCTGTTGAGAATGAAACCAAAGAGTTAGCTATTTTTGTTACTGCTAAAACCCAGCTTGCAGATGAACAGGCCTCCAGAAACCAGACGCTCCCTGCTCCACCAGCAACAGTTTCGGTGTGTTGTTCTCTAAGCCTGGGAAAGCTACTTAGAATCATCTTTTCTTTCTCCTTTACAAAGCATCTCAAAACTGTGTTGAAGAACAATCATGAGAACAAAGCCCTTCATACAATCAGCTATGGAAGTTCAAATGAGAACAATACAAATGCTTGTTTCCAACTTTAGTCTGGCTGGAGACGGTCCATGACTGTAGTCTGGTGTCTGTACGCTGCAGGGACAGTCATGTCTACAGACTCTATCTTGTTAAAAGAAACCACTCTTAATGTTCTTCCAATTGGGACTTTTCTGCCCTCTAAGTAGCATATTAAACTACACAGTGACAACAGCCCAAGTGGCTGCTGGGCAGCCCCATCTGAGCTTTGAGGTCTGGCCCAGTTTACTCTTGTTGGCTGTGGGTAACTTTCGGGTTATCCCCAGGAAGCATCCATTTAGCCATTTCTTTCCCATCTCAGGTCAATTTGATTCTTTCTTAATTTTGGACAAGAGTGGAATCCCACAGAGTTGGGTAAAAGAATTGAGGGACTGGGGAGTGAGGGAATCATTACACCAGTCTTCCCTCCTTGCCAGTAGACAAGCCAAATACAAATGTTCCAGAAAGAATTTAAATGATCTTTAAAAAAAAATTGCTGTCTTGTTTCTTACATCTGTGAAATGGAAATCTACCTGCTTCACAGGATTATGGGGATGGCCACATGTCTAGAATGTCTGAGCTCTCTCCCAAAGCTCTTATTGCCTCTAGGTATTATCACGGCAACAAATGTGTTTTAAAAGATGGTGATGCCATTAGATGAGGTAATTATAACATTTTAACACAGTGGTTTTCAACTATGGCAACATAGACAACTAGGACCAGATATACTAATGGTGGAAACATCTTGGTTTCTCCCTTTGTAACATCCCTAACCATCTCTGGTGACTGTGGAAGCTCTCCCTTGGGGGAGGACCCAGTCAACCACGGATGGACACCAATCTAACACAAGCTGTGAAAGCTGCACCTGTCCTACCTGAAAACTGACGCTGCCCACAGGCAGGTAGCTGTGGTCCTCCAGCATGCTCAGGTACTCGGCCACCAAGGCGGCTGCGTGAACCAGGCACATGGCAGCCTCTGTGAAGCACTTCTTCTTAGTGTGTTTCTCTGCCATGTTCTGGAGCCAGGTCAGACGCAGGTCAGGAGACGCTTGGTAGCTCTTGGCGATCCTGAAGACAGATTGGAGAAAGTTTCGTGTGCAGCCTTTCCATGGCATCACTCTTACAGGGATGGCGACCTTTATTTCCCCACTAATATTTCTGTTTACAATTTCAGAAAATAAGAGAAAAGGTAAAACATTCATCCAACTCTAGGTGACCAGGGTGCTCTGGATGCCAAGAAAGAACACTCAGTAGAAGTCTTATGAGGAGAAAAATCTCATAAAATAATGTCCTTTTTTATGGAGCTCAAGCAATTTCCTTCCTTTTCTTTCAAAGTTGTAACAGAGGACACAGTACTATTCCTCTTACGATGGATCAGAGCTATTTGCCTTTGTAAGTAATTTCTCCTAAAACTACTGGACCAGAGGACAAAGTGTTTAAACTACACAGTAAAGTGTGACTTCTAAACTGCTTGTTTATGAATTGCCACAGAAGCATGTGGGAAACAATTCATACAACAGCCAATAATTCTTTTCTCTCATTCTAGACAGAAGATAGTATTTAAAATGAACACTGTATTTTATGTTAGGGCAATCTTTCTGGAGATTTATGAGTGAAGCAACTCTAGTTTTCCATTATATATAGTGTTCATATATTTTTCGGATGCTACCCCTCAACTATTCTACCCAGGTTGCCTATGATAATGACATTAGAAAGTGCACCACTGGGACTTGAGAGATGGCTCACTGGTCAAGAGCACTGACAGTTCTTTTAGAGGTCCTGGGTTCGATTCCCAACACCCACATGGCAGCTCATAACCATCTATACCATCAGCCCCAGGGCATTTGATGCCCTCTTCTGGCCTTCCTGGGCACTAGGCACATACATGGTGCATAAACAAAACATCCGTATAAATAAAATAAACATTTAATAATAAAAGAAAAAGATGGAACCCCACTGAGACACATATTCAGACTCGAAAACAATAATGCTCTCCTCCCTCCCTTCCTTCCTTCCATCCGTCTTTTCTTCCTTCTCCAGGTGTGTGCCACCATGCTTGCCAACAATGCCCTTTCTATCTGCTCAGGAGAGTTTACCTGTACATGAGGTCCATGAGCATCTCAGGGTCTTCCTGGAATTCCCTCATTTTCACTGTGTCATATAAAATGCTGTTCAGATTGTAAAGAAGTTCCTCCACCTGAAAAAAAAAAAAAACAGTGCAAGCTGTGAAGAGCATGAAGTACAGGGGATCCAGCGAAAGGCTTTGCTCAGAGATAGGCAGAGATCCAAGGTGGAGAGAATTCAAGACCATCTTTGGAGGTACTTTCATCTGTGCAACCCAAGGTCCATAGGTAATGTGGCCTGGAGATCCATCAAGCAGCCCTGACCTTAACACTATCTCCCTCTCCAACACCTTGAGTTTCAAGTTTGAATGAGTTTCGGTTATTTGTAGACTGCAAAGGTACAAACTCTACTCTGGAAGGCCAGGTTGTAAGAACCTAACCACAGAGTAGGTTAGGGGCTAAAGTTAAAAGGCAAAGAAGGCTGCATCTTTCACTTATGGCATCTTTCACATGGGCATTGCAACAAGACAGAAGAGTAGCTGTCCTCCTGGGTTCCTTAGGACTAATTGTGGTGATATATTGTTTATGATCTAATAAAGCTTGCCTGAAGATCAGAGTGCAAAGCTAGCCACAGCCATAGAGGCCGGGAAGTAGCGGCACACACCTTTAATCCCAGCACTCAGGAGACAGAGGCAGATGAATCTCTGTGACTACAAAGCCACCCTGGGCTACATGGGAGTGAATCAGTTTAACACACCTTTAATCCCAGCACAAGGGAGGTGGAGACAGGAGTGATTTGGCTGGGCAGAGAGAGAAATATAAGACAGAAGGAGACAGGAATGCATTGCAGTCTAGTCTGAGGAGCAGTGCAGTCTGAAGATGCAATCAGAAGACACGATCGCCCCTTCAGTCTGAGCATTGGTAGAGGTGAGAACTCTCTAGTGGCTGGTTGCTTTGCTTTTCTGGCCTTCAGGTAAGCTTTATTAGATCATAAACAAAATATCACCAGGACTAATGTTGTTTACCAGCTCTTCTAAATTGGGATCCTTCTTGTCTGTCTTACACAAACATTATTATCCATTCCATGATCAGTATTTCCTTTCCCTCTTCCCTAAATTCTATCCTAGGAATTTGACTCCTCTCCACCCCCACATTTCCAGACCACCATTTCTTCATTTATTTATTTAATTTTTTGCAGTTGTGAGGATCAAACCCCGGGCTTTGTGAATGTAGGTTCTACCACAAAACTATATTCAGCCCCTGTACCCCCTTTCTTAAGTCTTGTATAGTATTTGCTATCACACAGTACAGTATCACTTTTCTTCTGTTAGCTCTTATTGTTAGCTCTTATATGCTTTCCCAATAGACTCTTGGTTTCTTGAAGTTGAGGACAGTGGTATGTATATTGCATTTATCAAGCCCAAGAACATGTAAATATAGAACAGGCTATAAATACCTGTAAATCATATATATATATATATATGTATATATATACATATGTATATGTATATGTATATATTTATATAATTTTATATGCAAAACCATAAATGTGTATGCTTATAACTGGGTAATCCCAAACTCATGCATAAGACAAGATATGTTGATGGGTCTACCTGGGTGGGAAAAGGAGTTGTTTGCATAGCCGTGTCCTCTTCTGAATAGGCCAGAATTGTCCTCAAGGACCTTCTCAGGTGCTCTTCATTGAAGTCTGGTGCTTTGCCTACCAAGGATGCTAGAGCCATGGTTACCTGCATCTTTACTCTTGCAAAATTCTGCATCAGAAAAGATGATGTGAACAAGAGACAGTCAGTGAGTGACTAAGGGGAGGCTCCAGGGCCAGACACAAACAGCTCCCAATGTTCCTTTCACTCCAGTCTTAAGCATTTCCTTTTCTCTCAATAAATTTGTGAGCTACACTTTGCACAAGAGTCACATTGCTGTTTAAATAGGTTGGGTGGATTGCAAGCTCCCATAAATCTGTCAGGCTCCTTTAAATTTTCATTGCATTTGGCTCTGCAAGGCTGAAAGATTATTATAAAGTTGGTCACAGGACACATGCTTTGCTGCCAAGAGTCTCTTCTTGGAACTTACAAAGGGCCTGGAACCTTCTAAGGCAGCACTTTTTATTTTTTCCTTCTTCCCCAAGACAGGATTTCTCTGTGTAGCAGTCCTGGCTGTCCTGGAACTTGTTCTGTAGATCAGGCTGGCCTTGAACTCACATAGATCAGCTAAGGTAGCACTTTTGAGATTTTGGATTTTGAAGTAAGCAGTAGCTTCCTGCATCTCCTTTTCTTCCATGACTGTGAAAAGCACACCTACCCATGGGCCCATGGAGCATGTCCCACAGGTTTTTAAACTTCTATAACATATCATGAGGACCAGTGACAGGGGTATTACTCAGTAGTAAAGCAAGTGATTAGCATTATGGGGTCCTTGGTTCAATTCCCAGAATTAACACAAAACAGACAAAAATAAGACAAAGCAAAACAAAATCCTAAAGAACCCCCATTTCATCTATGGGTCCATGTATTTGCTCCTCCCTTGATCTGTAAATTCCTTTTTGAGGCTAAGAGATTTTTTTCAAAAACAGAGTTTAGTATAAACGATTTTTTTTGTTTTTTTTACATTTCAGTTGGTAGCTTTATTGGAAGGAGTCCTTAAAGATGCTTATTAACATGGCAGCAAACAAAAATCCCAAACATGCTTCATAAATATGTACAGACTAAAGCAAAGGTTTGCTATGAAACTGAACCCCAAAAGTGTCTACATTTCACTTAAAATTCTGGTCCAATCCAGGCATGATGGCACATGCCTTTAATCTCAGCACTCGGGAGGCAGAGGCAGGCAGATCTCTGTGAGTTCAAGGCCAGCCCGGTGTACAGAGCAAGTGCCAGAATAGGCTCTAACGCTACACAGAGAAACCCTATCTCGAAAAACAAAAACATAAACAAAAAAATCAGGTCCAGATGACAATAATCATTTACAATTCTCATCCACAAGCCGCCCTGGTACCATCCACAACTAGTACTGATTCAGACTTTAGAACAGGACACACTTTTCTGAATCTGCAACGCACTTGCGTTTGTCCCGTGTGCGGGAACTTTGCGACTGCTGGAAGCGTGCACCTTCCAGTCCTGCCTTCGCTGTCAAATGCTGGTGCTCACCTGCACACTCCCTGGTGTCTCTCTCACAGGGCAGAAGTGAAAGCTACCCCACCAACGCCCCCTCTACCTATGCTCCGCATTCATGTTCTGTCCCGATCCTGGGCCACACAGCCGGTTTGTGCTTACACTGGTGGCTCCAAAACTGAAACGCATGAGGAGGTAGAGGGTGGCGCAGGCCTGGCTCCGTGTGACGTCCATGCTGCTGCTGCAGTGGTGCAGCACCCTCTGGCACAGGTCAGCACACTGTTCCACCTCCTCCTCGAACAGCAAGTCTCCAAACTGCAAGAGACACAGGGTGCTTGTGAGGCATCGCCGGGTATTTTTGCAAGCTCTGTGGCTGTCTGTTGCAACATGCAAATGTCTGTTTGGACAAGCAAAGAGCCTGAAGGGTTAATGTAGTGCTCCATAAACAAAATGGGCTACATGTGTCAGAAGATGGAGGTAAGCAATGACGTCCACTTAATTGTGAGTCACACAGCTGAGATAAGGGCTATGCCATTAACGTCACCGCTAGCCAGGCGGCATTCACTGGTGAGTGAGTCGCAGCACTGAAAGACTTACTTGTGTTTCATGGGTTCCTTGGAAATTATTGGTGACTAAGAAAGAGAAAATTATTATAATAGTGGACAGCAGAATTCCACTTCATAAATTTACAAGCTCCTATGTAGAAGGCACCCACTAAGATTTCCCACAATGACGGAAGATAATCTTAATACGCTACTAATCAAAGACAGTTAGTTACAGTGATGGTCATTTGAAATCTTTATAGTTAGGCCCTCATTTCAAGGATGAGAGCCACCGTTTGTCACCCCCCCCCAACAGCTACTTCGTGACAGTCGGTGTGCCTACTTTCTTAGGAAGCGGTAACACTTTTACTCCATGCCCTCCATGTAGCTTGATCTATTTACAGAGGAACTTGAATCTAGATAAGAATCTCACTTTTAATTAAGGGTAAGAAAACAAGCATCCCATGTGTACCTTGGCAATGAGTGCTCGGAGAGTCGCAAAGCAGTGAGTCAGGTAGGTGGTGCTCTGATCACAGCTCAGAGAATTCACCAGGACTCGAAGGACACCTCCCAGCAGGCTGTCTTTACAGTCCAGGGCGGAGCTTGCCTGGGGGGCGGGTGTGGAAGAACAGCATCATTGAGTAAGGCTGAAGGCCAGAGAGGCTGCCCTGATTATAGAGAACTGGTATACCTTCTTAGTTGAAAGTGTTCTGTGAGCCACTGAGTATGTCATTCATTAACAACCACGAGAGCTTAAGCCCTCTTTCCCAATAACCCCTTTCCAAAATTAACTGACTTGGGATATCCCTTTGGGATATTAAACAGAGTTCTAAGGTTCATCTCCTTCCAGCCTGGGTTATAGCTTTTGGAATGTTCTTTCTTTGTAGGTATGATTTTCTATCAGTGTTTCAAAAACATTTGGGAGCTTCAAGTACAACAGGGCTGCTCGGTGGCAGTTGTGTCTTCTAAATTGGCAGCCCATTTGTCAGCTACAGAAGGACTAATAAGGATAATAAGTATTTTCTATAGTGCAACTTTTTAAGGAAACTGCAAATTACTTTGAGACTTGGTATCAGGTACAATGCTCTCAGAAATAGCTTGTACAAAGATGCTAAACATTTAGGATACCAAAGTTAGGAAACTTTCTAAAGATACCTGAGTCATCCTTGGATGCTCAAATCCCTCCTATAAAAGGGGGGTAGTATTTGTATATATAACCCACAATTCTCTCATGTACTTCAAATCATCCCTTGATTACTTTCGGACCTAATACAACATAAAAACACCATGTCAACAGTTGCTATTCTGTATTGTTTAGGGAACAATGATGGGAAACTAAAATCTGTATGCATATACAGATATATTTTTCAGTATGGATCTATTTTTACTCCTAAATATTCCCCCATCAATGGTTGATCAAGCTTCAGGATGTGGAACCACTGCAATGGAAGGCTGGCTTATGCTTTCCTAAAGTAGGGATGGCAAATTCACAGGACTGTCGTTCAGCAATCTGAGTATGGAACACATCATTTGTCACATTTAGTACCTTTTTTTTTTTTTTTTTTTTTTTTAACCTAGTGCAGACATAATGTTAGAGTGGCAATGAAGGCCAATTGAGAGAAAGCTTCTAGTCAAGAGAACATTATCTCTGGCTTGGTGAAGACCCAATATTCCAGTTGTGCTGGTAAATCAAAGAGACCACCCCTAGGGTGACAAGCTCACTTTAAGCCACGTTAAGGAGTTGGGCAGAGTAATTAGTCCTTTAAGGAGACAGTGTACTTTTCCTCCCCAGAATCCCTACTTCCAGCACAGTGGCTTCCTGGGCCACAGACATCCGTCTTTCTCCTTTTGTAAATTATTCAGAAAAGTGTAATTTCTCCTTAATTTTTCTATCCCTTTTCTAGGCATACTTTCCCTAACATGGGGTCTTCCCAGCATTCTGCACTCCCTTCCCTCCCATGTGACTGCTTGCTTGGCATGTATATGACCTCTACAGCAATTTAAATGGCATAGCTTTCTTTCCTTTTCTCCTTCAGGCTCCCCTTCCCAACAGCTGCTAAGATTTGCAACTTGACAACTTTGGGGATTTTTCTTTAAAACACTAATAAAATTGTCCTTCACTTTCTACTTTAGTCCATTCTTGAGTCCTTTTATTAAGGAGACTAAGAACCCCAGGCAGGACTCCAATCCCTCTATGTCATCAACAACTCCTTTCCTAACCAACTGGAATTTACCTACGAGGAGAAACTTAGTTACCATCCTTGTTGCAGTGTCCAGCTAAGAGCTCACTGTCTACCTTCTAAGTCTAGCACGTACTTGGACTAGCTTAACCTTGAGAGTCAGCTCCTCAAATGCCCAACTCTTCCCAAGGGGGTAGTAGAATGTCAGAGAAGCCAGAAGATACCTGGTATCTCTGGAATCTGCAAGGTAGGTAAACTTGCCCACTATAATTTTAAAAAGGCATGCTGAAATCATATTCACATCTTTCTCAATTTTGAATGAAGGATTCCCTATGCAATTCCGAGGGACGCACCCGAGAGCCAGCCAGATGGGTGCGCATTGCCCTCACCTGGATGATGTTTTCCTGCATATCCAGTGTGATTAAATTTGCTTCTGTTGCCAGATTGCCACTGATCAAGGCTTCTTGATCTAACTCTGCCTTTGTTCTAAGAAACAAAAGGAGGTCAAATTAAAGCACAATCTGGCTTGGCCAGGTTCCAGCAATGACAACCAATGTACCACGTCACAAAGGATTCTTTAGAACCATCAACCATGAATTAACACAAAGCGGCCGGCCTCGATGTAACTAAGGACTGCAAGTGTTTCCCGGGGTTCACGCCTGGTTGGGAAGATGGTTGGGTGAAGTCTCCAGGTCATTCATATCCTTACTGTTATTAATAATGATGATAATTAAGAAAATAGCAAAATAGGTAGAGAAGTAATTATTGGTTGCTACTAACAATTAGGTGAGCCTATCAGATAGCTGTTTAAAGCCCCAGGGACTCGTCTGCCATTCATGCATGAGTACTATCTGAGTGGGGGTAGGGCGGGGCTGCAACACGCTGAGAGATGGGCTGTATCTTGAACTTGGTGAACACTGGGAAACAGTGATGCTACCGTGGAGAGGGAGATTCAGTTCTTTACTACTCAGAGTCTACCTGAGAAGGTTGCTTAGCTGAGTGTAGAACTGGCTGTCCTTCTCCAGTGGGAAGCAAGGCTCACATCCCATGGGCAGGGCATCAAACATTCTGCCAGAGGTTCCTGGACTAGAAACTACCAGGAATAGGAAATAGGAAATCACTGGCACTGTTTCTTTTTCAGGTTTAATTGTAAGGAGCTGGTTGGTGTGTTCCGTGTACTAATCCCTCCATCCTCACAAACCAAGTGAAGCTGGGAAGGGAGAAAGTGGTCTCTTCTTCCATAGCTTTGCCTTCAATGGGTCAGTTTCCCATAGTCAACAAGAGTCAGAAAACATTCCGTGAGAAACTGAAGAACAGATTCCAGAAATAAACAAGTCCCTGGCTCTGACTTGTGTGCAGTTCTGAGTGGCATGCTGTCACATGCCATCCCGTCAGGTGATCATTGCTTTGCCCAGCGTATCCACACTGTGCATGCTACCTACATGTTATTTACTTAGTTACTGTCTTCGTTACCATATTGACTGACACAATATCACACTGACACAGAGAAGGACTTGGTGCCATTCAGAGTTTTGGGTATCTACTGGAGTGTATTGCCTCCAGATAAAAGGGTCTACCATCCAATTTATTTTACCATCCAAATTTACTTTTAAGGAAGGAGAGGTAGGAAGAACTGACTTGCCCAATAATTGCCAGTGGCTAAGATGTTACTTACCATAGATGCTGGGCATTATACTATCCGTTCCAATGTCTTGAACCAGGATTACCCACCGAGCTGTTCTCTTTTCTCCTTACCTGATAACAGTTGCTTATATACTATGGAGTGCTCAGAAAGGTATTTTTAACTAATATCACACTTAGGAAAGATTCTTCAGTCCTAATTGGTTGACAAGCCTTCCCTCATTCTCCAAATGATAGTTTTATGTATAAGGTAAGTGAAATATACAAGCTTTTTTTAAAAATTAATTTACTGGTACGGTTAAATTTACAGCAACAGAGCCAGGCATCATGGTGCATGCCTTTAATTCCAGCATTCAGGAGACAGGGGCTGGTGGATCTTTATGAGTTTGAGGCCAGCATGGTCTACAAGGCATGTTCTGGAGCCAATAAAGACTATTTAATGAAACTCTGTCTCAAAACAACAACAATAACCCCCCTGATCAAAAAAAAAAAAAAAAACCCACACTTTGACCAACACTGTCCAGTAGAATTCAGTAGGGGTTAGATGTATTATTTTAGATTTTGTGTTAGCCACAACAACAACAACAAAAAAGATAAAATGAAATTGATGACATTATCTTTTCTTTTCTTTCTCTTAGAAAGGTCTTATGCTGACTGGTCTGGGATTCCAGGCTCACCATGTAGACCAGGCTGGCCTCAGACTCACAGAGATCTACCTACTTCTGCTTCTTGGGTACTGGAATTAAAGACATGTGCCAGCACACCCAGCCGATATTAATTTTTACCATATTTTATTTAACCCAGTACATCAAAAGTACTGTTATTAAGTAACAAATTAAAAATTTACTGCTGAAATGTTCAATCTTACATGCATTCTCATTTATTTTGCATCTTAATATGAAATAGTGACACTTAAAGTTTCATAGCTTACATGTGTTTAGTGGCTCCTGTAATGGGTAATATAGGCAGTCATAACCTGCTTTTAAAATTGTGATAAAAGGTGCATAACATAAAACTTACCACCTTGGTAATTTTAATTGTATAGTTCAGCAGTATTAAGTAATTTATACTGTCATGCAATATTGTCACTCCTCCTTGGGGGGGTGTCCACTAGTATGGCTAGTACTTGTCTGCACAGTGCAGTCACCTGTAAAGTTTGACCAACCTAGAACTGGCAGATGATACCTTGGGACAGTTTGATGCTTGTGTGGTGGCACATGCTTTAATTCCAGCACTCAGGAGGCAGAGGCAGGCAGACCTTGTGAGTTCAAACACAGCCTTGTCTACATAAAGAGTTCAGAGCAGCGTGAGGCCCTATCCAAGGAGCAAGTAGCACTCTGTAAGTTCTCATGGGTGATTTGAATGTGTAGCCCAGGTTGAAAACTACTGCTCTAAAAGAAACAGAGCCAAACTGATTAAAATAAAGCTAAAAGAAAATGATAGAAGCTGTTGTCTAAAAATTATGAAGTTTCCAAATAGTTCTCAGTTGAGCAGTTATAATTGCCAGATGGTTGCAGAAGGACCGAGGTATCATCAGTCACTGGTAATGAGTAGCCCACCAGGAGCTGGGAGCTGAGAAGGAAACTGCAGAGAACTGGCAGGACCTGCATGGTCACAGTCAAGACTGCTAATGTCAGCAAGTGGGAAAGGCTTCCTAAGGCAATTCACACAGCCCAGCCAAAACATGCCTTGATGCACTCTTGTTTTAATTTGGGGAGCAGATGACCTAACCATTTAAACAGTGCTGTGCCTTCTACATACACCTGTTGTTGTACACTGTCCGAACCAATGACCTCACACACTGAATGAGAGCAACAGGCAAGGGGAAAGCAGTAGAGAAAACAGGGCCAAGTGCCCAGCCGTGTAACTTCAAATCCTAGGGAAATCAGAGCAAGCCAAGGCACACTAAGCAAATGGGCATTATTAATAAGACCAACAACACTTGGGGTTCCTCTGTGACACCTGAGTAAACACTGTGATGTGTCCACGCATCTTTGGACCTGACAGCTGTGACTGTCTCCCTTCCAAGCCACAAAAGAGCATATTCTTGTTTATTGGCAAAGCCATCACTGTTTAATTGGTATCAGATACTGACTTGCACGAGTAGCATCCTTCACTGTTAGGAAACTGTGGGATACCAGATTGTTTGGCATGCTTTTCGAAACTATTATTGAAATGTTTCTAGGAAAAAAATGTCTTTAGAGTAAGTTTGACTCCTCACAGTCCCATAAGTTGACTAGGATGTATCATTCTTATGGTAACAGTAGAGATATTAACATTTGTTTATTAAACGGCATTCAGGTCTTCTCATCCCTCCCTTTGAGGAGTACTTCACACTCCATGGAGCTGTACTATCTGTGTTCTGTTGTATATGTGAGCTCTTCAACCACTCAGTGTTTTGCTCGCCGAATCTGGGTTTCATAAGCTGTCTATGGCTAAGAGGCAGAGAAGACATACATTATCTATCCACACATTCTTAGCTTTAGCTCTCATGTGTCGAAATTGTTACATACAGTTCTCTCTTTCCCCTTTGATGTGCAATACATATATACACATGTGCTGGCTGGTTTCTGTCAGTTTGACACATCTAGACAAATCTGTTGAAGAATTGCCTCTCTCATCCTGGGCTACAGGCAAGGCTACAGAGGCATTTTCCTGATTAATGATGGATGTGGGAGGGCCCAGCTCACTGCGGGCGGTGTCACACCCCTGGCCAGGTGGTCCTGAGTTGTATAAGAAAGCAGGCTATCAGGTCACAGAGAGTGAGTCAGTAGGTAGTATTTTCTCATGGCCTTTGCCTCAGTTTCTACTTCCTGACTTCCTTCTGTCCCCTCAAGTAGTTTTTGGTCTTAGTGTTTTATCAGAGCAATTGAAAGCAAATAAGACCTTCAATGTAGAAAACATAACAAATTGTGAAAAAGAAAATACAAATCACTTACATTTTTAAAAATCCCCAAATCACTATTAATGTTTTGGTGAATTTTGTTTGTTTGTTTTTTTTGTTTTTGTTTTTCAAGACAGGGTTTCTCTATGTAGCCCTAGCTGTGGTGGAACTTGCTTTGTAGACCAGGCTGGCTTCGAACTCATAAAGATCCACCTGTCTCTGCCTCCCAAGTGCTTGTATTAAAGGTATGTGCCATACCATCTGACCTTTTTAAAATTTATTTTTATGTATGTCTGTGTGAGGGTTTCAGGTCTTAGAGTTACATACAGTTGTGAGCTGACATGTGGGTGCTGAGAATTGAACCCAGATCCTCTGGAAGGGCAGTCAATGCTCCAAAACTTGAGCCATTTCTCCAGCCCAAGCAGTTTTAATATTTTTGAACAATCAAAATATAAGGATACTATAAATACCTCTGACTCTCCATCTTTGCACCCACTCTCACTATGGAAATACAGATGTGGGGTTGCATGGCAGGACACCAGGTCCTGCTTTCTCTATTTCTCTGCTCTTCACCAGCGGCCTTCATCAGTTACCTGAGATTTCAGAAACTGGGTTTCTTTAAATAATGGATACTTTTTTTTTTTTTTTAAGAGCTGAAGACACAGCTTCTTACACCTTTGGGCATCCTAGGTAGCTGGAGCTGTATAAGAGCTAAAGACACAGCTTCTTACACCTTTGGGCATCCTAGGTAGCTGGAGCTGTATTTATAGGATATTTCCTTTTCTTACTCTTGGAAGGATGCAGTTGTCCCAGAAACTCAAGTAGCCTGGGAAAAATACTTTAAGACTTTAAATGAAAGCTGCACAGAGCAGCCGAGTGACTCACTTATCCATCTTCTCGTTAGCTTGCCGCCACTGTGTCTGCTCTTTCCGCCATCTCAGATTTTCATTTAGGCCTGTAAATCGGTCATTCCCTAGGAGTTAAGAAACACACAACAGGAATTTGATTAGCATGAAACCCTCTAAGATAACCAAGAGTTGAGCGCCAAGCTTAACTGAGAAGCCTTGGCACATTCTTTTGTTAATCAGTCTGTGCTGCCATGAGGAGACAAAGCCACCATGCTGTGTCTGTGGTGACCTGCCCTGGATGGACAGGAGGGAGCTCAGGAAGATGCCCTGCCTTTCATATTTGCCTGAGCTGGGGCTCCTGTGAGGCTCCCCTCCACCGGCCCCCACTTGCTGGCACAGGTGCTGAGCACCCTCCAAAGTCCATGCCCTCCTGTTGCTGTTTTCCTGGGAGCATGTGACATTTGACTGTCTTAATGTGATGAGCTCAGGTGTTTGGGTCATGGGGTCCCTAGGATGGGGAATATGCTGGCACTGTTTTGGGGAGACTGCTCTATTCTAGTAGCATATTGAATGACCCAGGGATAGGAACTTGAGCCCCAGAGCCCTCCAGTTTGTTGATCAGTCCCCTCCAGGGGCCTAAGCACAAGGGAGACAGTGCTTCCCTCCTCCATCAATCACTTTCTTGGATGTGGCCTTCACTTGCTTTTAAACTTAATTAGAACAGGGCGTTTGGGGACTTACAGGGTGATTCTTGCCCTCAGAGGCAGAGGACAAGTGTTCTCTAAGCCAAGCACAGGATTCAGAACTTGCTGTCTCAGGGAGTGCCATCCAAGGACCTTCCTTCCCACAAAGAGTGAAGAGCTGTCCAACAGGTGGAGAGGCCTACCCACATACCTGGAGTGCGACGACGCATCATCTCCCCACGGGCTCCTTCCCCACGGAGCAGGGCCTCTTCCAGCTTGGCCTTGACATCCCTTGACTTCTGCAGGACTTGATTACTGACTTTGTCAGAGCTCTGCTTTCCCTGAAAGGACAGAAGTAGGAACATTCAGTTTAGTAGTGTCTCTGCTGATAGAGAGATTTGTCAAAAAAGAACACTTCAGGATCATGGTGAGGAGTTTTTTTTTTTTAAGATTTTATTTATTTATTATGTATACAACATTCTGCTTCTAAGTATATCTGCACACCATAAGAGGGCAGCAGATCTCATTACAGATAGTGAGCTACCATGTGGTTGGTGGGAATTGAACTCAGGACCTCTGGAAGAACAGCCACTGCTCTTAACCTCTAAGCCATCTCTCCAGCCCCCGTGGTGGGGAGTTTTGACATGTAGCACACACACTTTTCTGGAGGTTCCTATGGACAAAAGTTTATTAGCAGCCATAGGCCACTGCAATAGGCAGACATTCCTCCCATGCGGTGGGGAGTTTTGACATGTAGCACACAGACACTTTTCTGGAGGTTCCTATGGACAAAACTTTATTAGCAGCCATAGGCCACTGCAATAGGCAGACATTCCTCCCATGCGGAATGGTCACATCTGCAAATGCAAACAAGCTACGGGTTGGAATACAGAAGTGTGAAGAAATGAATGATGCTGTTATTTCTCAAAGGGAAGAGTAACAAGACAAGATTGAAACAAACCACGAAGACACCCCATGCTTACCTTGTACTCAAAACAGGAGACACAGATGAACAGCAGGTCTAAAATCCTGTTGAGCTGCATGGAAGGCAGGTCAGCAATCCACCTCCGAATGAGGCTCTGGTCAGCATTTTTCATGATCCACAGGAAGCAGATCATGAGGTGGCGGGTGGTGTCTGCACTCAGCATGCTGTATTGCTTATAGGGCTGGAGGAGGCAAAGGGTGGGGGAGGCAGTCAAGCAACAGAAAAACAAAACAAAACTGTAAGAGATGAGAACCTCTCAGAATACGGTACCTACTTCTTGCTGGCTGGACATCTGCTCTCTGCAGCACCGTCTCTCCAAGGCAAGGGAATGCTTGCTTGGTGCTTGGTAAAGGCGAACCTTGGGCATAGTTAGGGTTAAGCTAAGAGCCACCGAATTGAGCACTGTCTGGTGGTCTGCCCTGGAACCTGACTGTCTTCTTTAATATCAGTGATGCAATGAAGCATTTTTGCTACTAAGATCTCCAAGAGCTTCTTTAAGATGGCCAGTGGAGGGTTGGCCTAACCAGACACGATGACTAATCCAACAGTTCTGCTTCACATCAAGATCATGACCTGCTCAGCACATGGATCAAATTCATATGTTTGTGAAGTCATTTGCAATGGGACCTGCACCAAAATTCACCCAAGGAAGGGTGGATTCTCAGGCAGTAATTCCCTAGGTGCAAGTTCATTGGAGGGTGCTGCTAAGCACACTTGCTCTAATTCATAATACCAAGACAGACAACAATGTGTAGCTGCAGCCTTGCTTTATGTGGTGTAGCTAATATTCAGTGCAATGTGGTAGCAACATTACAATGAGAAATTTGGGAGTTATGTGAAGGAAATGCTAGTATTGGATGGAAATGACGGATGACGAATTTACTTTCACTTAAGGTATTCTGAGTATGTTGATAAGAAATGTGAGCCTTCAGCTAAAACTTCACAGGGAGTATATTCTAACAGGTGAACTTCTGGCTTCTATACTCCTTACAGGCAATTAATAGAATATGTCATCTAGTAAAGTTGTATCAAGACCCTGCCTCACTCAGAAGAAAACCAAGCAAGTTTCCTGCAGATTCAGATCATACATTAAAATGCAAAATGAAATTGACTGCCTAGCTCTTGCAAACCCTAGGTTTCCCTAGGCACATCTCTAGGTTCATAAAAATCAAACACATCAAGTCAAATAAAAACAGAACGATAACAACACTGAGCTAGAAGAAGTGCTATTTTGACAAGAAATTGAGTGCATCAACAAACATATGAGCCCCACCTCAAGTACAGCAGAAGATATACCCTACAAAGAGCCCTCTGTCAAAGGACAAACCGAACAAATCTCCGTAGGCTCTCTGGGGACTCAGGAAAATTGAAGACTTTTGCTTTGGAAACTCTGGTCCCTTCATTCATTTATTGGAGGTAAACATTAAGACATTCAATCTCTTGTGGAAACAACACTTCACCTTTTAGCTCAGTAAGCCCAGCTAAATTCCATGGAAGGATGCTTTGGTTTGATCTTCTCTGTAATGATTTCAGAGTCTCCAAGTTCTCCCCCCTGATAGTTTTCTGTACCTAGCACACTGGGACTGGCTAAATGTGACCTGTGCATCTCTTGCTATTGCCATGGCTGTCTGAGCAGCGTGCTTCTCGGCTGTCAGTCTCTTTGATTCCTGTAGCACAGTGGGGAGGCAGAAACCATCTCTGCTCCAAGCTGGGTTCCATTAGAAGTCAGGAGGAGGACACACCAACAAGAAATTATCTCAAGGAATGTGTCCCAACATACCAAGGAAGACAGCATTGCTCCACTTGTCTTCAAGTTAAAATGATTCCCTGCTATGGCCAGGGCCACATTCTGGTTGATTCCATTGGCCACATCTTGTTCTTCGTAAGAGCCACTGGCGCGGCTCCTTCCACTTCGAGCATCTGCAACTGCAATTAAATATCACCATGGGTGATGTCAAGCCAAAGACCACATGTCCATGTCTTCAACCCAACAAGAGACAGAAGCGTCTTAGTTACTAAAGTCAGCAAGTAATTCAAGACCTGGTGTTTACCATTATTTATCTCGAGAAAAAGCAGACGGGCTTAAAATAAATGTTGAGCACAAGTTTAGGCTACAATTTAATTTTCCAAGTGTTAAAAATACTTTCAAAGTTTTGTAATACTTCTCTGTTCTGTATTTAAAACAATATTGTTTATTTTAAATAATGATCCAATAAAATGGGACCTATAACTACAAAATAAGCACCCTGAAGAATAATATGCTATTATAATAAATCATGAACCAAAATTGTTTCAAAAGTCTAGGCAAATGTTAATTTATTATGGCCATATAGTAGACATGTCTATATTTACAGAAAAGCCAAACTTTTCAAAGGTGTTCAAATTTAGATGTATCTTTAACATTTTATTTTTTAGAATTTTGCTACATGTATGTCTGTGTATCATTTTCATGACTGATGACCTCAGAGGCTACAACAGGTCATCAGACAGTTGTGAGCTGCCATGTGGGTGCTGGGAATTGACCCTGGGTCCTCTGGAAAAGCAGCCAGTTCTCTTAAACACTGAACCATGCCTCCAGCCCCATTAGCTGTATCTTTAAAAAGATTTGTTTTTATTTTATGTGTAAATGTTAGTGCCTGTGGGCACTTCATGGGTTTGGGTTGGTCAGAAGAGGGCATCAGATCTTCTAGAACTGGAGTTCCAGGCAAATGTGAGGTGCTGGGAACCAAACTCATATTCTCTGCAAACAAAGCAAGTGCTCTTAACTGCTGAGCTTTGCCCCTACTAATTTACAGGAGGAATTTTATTTTTTTGATTTTTAATAAAGAAGAGAAATAACTACTTCCATAGGAATGCTTGCTTCTCACTTTACAATTTGCATGAATTAAAGGTTCTGGGGGATTGTTCTCATCTTGTGTATTTGTGTGTATATGAATGTGAATGTGAGAATGTGTGTGTGTGTGTGTGTGTGTGTGTGTGTGTGTGTGTGTGTATCTCTGTGTTTCAGTGTGTGGCCAGTGCACATGTGTACACATATGGATGAGCATTTGGAGGCAAGAAGGTGACCTTGTTTTGTTTCTCATGCACTGCTCACTTTTTTTCCCTTCCTGGTTGGCTGACTGGAGAACTCCAAGGTTCTTCATGTCTCACCTACCCAGTGATGGCATGACAAGTGTATACCACCATGTCAGAAATTTTTATGTGAGTTCTGGGAATCAAACACAGATCCTTGTGTTTGGATGACAAGCTCTTTAGTGACTAAGCTATTTCTGCAACCCCAGTCTCATCATTTTATAAACTAAATAATTGCTACTGTAATGATTTTACAGACGACCAGTCACACATGCCACTGCACTGGAGGATGTGGGACACTTAGATGGCTCTCTAAGACTCAATGGTGATGCCGTCTGTGTAAGGACTGCTGGGCTCAGGCAGGCAGGTATTCTTCAGACTCTAGACCATTCATCAGCAAAACGCCAGCATGGTAACCTCTACAAACTCACAGAGCAAAGGCTATTCTGAAGTGATCAGAATAGTGTACCCCCACTTATATTCTCTAGCTACGTGTATGTCTGTGTAACAGGAACATAAATCCAGGAAGTGGGGAAATTTTTAAAATTTTATGTTTTCTTCTTGTAATTAAGTAAGAGATGCTGACCTCAGACTTAACCTCTTGTTGCCAAAAGCAAACCTTTTTCTGCTGTGGCATAATTTCCTAATACTGAAAGACACCATGACTTGTGTGTCAATGAGCTGGCATAAAGCAAAAAGTTGTTTGGTTTAAATTACTCCCTTGTAAGCACTGTGGAAGGAAGTGAACATGCTTATCTGAAGGCAACAGAGCAGTGATCCCAAAAGAGAGTAGTGAACTCTGCTCTATTTCATCCTTTTGCTGCACAGTCAATGGCACCCACCAGAAACCAGCAGATCAATGTATGAATGTACAAATCGTTTCTCACAAAAAGTACATACAAGGATGTGTTTTAAAAACCTGTCTGAGAGCTGGGCAGCGGTGGTATCTCACGCCTTTAATCCCAGCACTCGGGAGGCAGAGGCAGGCAGATCTCTGTGAGTTCGAGGCCAGCCTGGTCTACAGAGTGAGTTCCAGGAC